CGAGGGTTGCAACGAGGTCACAGGTCAGGCGTGCACTCGTCAGTTGTCTAATACGGTCAAGAGTAAGATCTTCCGGAAGACCACTGCACTGGAGGTATGTGGATTATTGAGGAGGTACTACGTGTTTGGAACTGGGAGTTGAACACTAAACACTTTTAGAGAAGAGCTCACAATAAAACGTTATGGACTCGCGGACGGACTTGTGTTTTCATTTCAAGATGTACATTTATCAGGTTGAACTTCCTAACTGTAACAATAACTGAACTTTACGCCTTTTATACACATTTGTGATGGGGCGACAATGCGACAACGAGACATATTTTGACCTTGAAAATGTCGCGTTACGGCATCGTCGCCCTTTTGTAAAATAAAGAAAAGGATTATCAAAGAGCGACAATGCGAACACGCGACAATGCGAAAAATGGCCAGTTGTCGCGCTTTTGTTAATTTTGACACGTTTTGCTTGTTTTTGTAAAGGCGTCAATGCGACAACGAGACAATGTCCCCTCCATAGTAATCCGTGCAAATAAAACTGAGTAATGAAATAGAAGTCTGACATGCCAGTTAAAAGATAGAGTGTTGCAGCTTCTGATTTCATAGATCTTCAAGAAGGGTTATCAATAATGGGATGGGTGATGAGTTCAACTGCATACGCTGTGATTAACAATAATGCTCCGAGTCAATACATTTTGTCAAATGTATGACATGTATTACGTGAATGAACATATTGTTTATACTCGTCCATGTTTTTGACGGACAAAATAATTTACATGCTCGGTAAAACTGAGGACGGGCATCATTGTGTGTTTCCGTGCTTTGTTCAGGTGAACAATTGACTTGTCCTTGCATGTGTTTGTGACGTGTGCCACTTGTGTGGCAGGATACGCTCACCTTTTCCCGAACACCCATTGGATAACCTGAACCACTTCGGATTTTTATCCCACATCAGTCTGATACACCATGATATAACTGAAATACTGAAATACTGTACAGTTGAAAATGATGTTTAATGCGATTACCGTAGTGTGTTACTGCAACTGTTCATATTTTGTGCAGTGATGTTATGTAATATGTAAAAGAAAGCATATTCAATTATCCAATTGATTTGACTAGAATATACTTGCGTCAGTGTATTTTATTAACGCCCCAAATCGTAAATTAAACACATAAAATAACAGATCACACATGGTGCCTTGACTTACTACTAGATTTAATTAGCCACCCCGGAATAAAATAGTTCCCCCCAGAGCGAGGAACATATGTTTTAGTATGTTTACAAGAAATATATTCCAAACAATATCCTCATTAGATGAGAAGATCTTTTACAGAATTACCTCAGTAAGTCAATTACAATGACAGAGCGTCGTAATACATTAACATCAAGTACAATACGTCAAAATGGCCGACACGATAAACGTGACGGGAGATATTTTCGAAGTTGTTAATTAACCTGTGGCTATCTCAAGCCCTTGGCATCACTGATCAATTGGCCGATCATTGAAAGGTGATTGTGAAGATGTGTCAAATAGATACTAAGGTAAATTCATAGATTTCTGTAAATTGTAACTGCGACAGTTTGGATTTTTTTCGTGTTTTTTTTCTTGGATGGGTTGTAGCGAGGGTATCCTTAAATGGGCTTGCAACCACGCTTCTGTATGAATTCGTACCAGGGAATTCCAAGGGTTTTCCCCAGGAATGTGGAAGTAGTCAGTGTTTACGCCTTTTCAAGAATACAGTCACGTGAAGAACGTCATGTGACCGACCTCGCGTCCAAGTCGTATATCTTGTAAACTTCACATTAAAAAATTAGTTATTGTTATAACCAAATGAAACACAACCCATTATCCGATAGGGGTAACTGTACATATCCGTTACCATAATAAACTTAGTAACATTGTTTGGTTTGACTTCTTGGCGCATGTCTGAATTCCATTAACATGTAACATATCCTAAAACTAGCTTATCAGCAAATCTCGCTGCACTGCGCGCGACAGATACTAGAGCAAGGCATGCCAGAAATACGAAACCTAAAGCTTCCGAAAGGAAGCCTTGGACATCACGTGCGTCGGGGGACCAGCGCCATCTGATTGGCCGTTAACAGTTGTACAAGGCGGAGCAAAAAGCATCGTTTTTCCGTCCATTTTACGCTTGAAAAACTCGACCCTTTTCTGGACACTTTCTAGACGCTGACCAATTAATCAATTTTAATGAATTTTTAGTCGTTTTTCCGTCCAATGACCATATACGGAAAAAAACGACGTTTTCGTGTTTGCAGTGTATGGTGGCCTAATTTTGTTTGCTGGCGATCTACAGCCCCTTTTTTATATTGTGTCGTCTGTTATAATCTGATTATTTTATTATTCTATAACTAGTTTTACAATTATAATCTGTGATATTTTGCTAGTTGTTGTACTGTCCTTCGATGACAGGTCTTAATATATTATATAAATACATAACTTGCTCAAGTCACGATATGGCTGAAATAATGCCGATGTGACTTTAAATTTTAACTCACTCACTCACTCACTCAATATTAATGTAGTTCTCGTCACGATATGGCTGAAATACTGCCGATGTGACGTTAAATCTTAACTCACTCACTCACTCACTCACTCACTTCACTTCAACAACGCCGTATAAAATTATTACTACAATATATCACAACATTGGCTTCAAATCCTTCAAACCCAGCATATGACTGTGTATTCAATCCTCTTTATGAGGAACTGTTCACTCGTAAGCCGAATCTCGTTCCACCATTCGGGATTCGTATCCAACCGCATGTCATTGCTGCTAATATAGATTTAGATTTAATCACTTCTTATCGACTACTCTCTACTCCTTTAAGCGACACTTGGCAGTTGGTCAGACCTTTCACTCACTCAGTTAAAAAAATCTGACACAAATGATTTAGAATACCAACAGGAATATTTACAATTACGACGCAAATATGATTCCCATCGTTCAATCTTCACGGATGGATCAAAGGATAGTGGTAAAGTTTCCAGTGCCACTGTCATTTGATCAAAAACCATATCTACTAGAATCCCAGACAATAGCTCCGTTTTCACTGCTAAGGCAAACGCTATCAAAACAGCCTTGGACTTCATTCAACATCAATCTAACAGTAAACAATTTATCATTTTTTCTGAGTCTCTTTCATGCCTTCAAGCATTAAATAATGTCTCTCTAAATCATCCATATATTCTTGACATTTTAGAATTATACAATGATCTGTCTACTAGCCAATGCGACATCATATTTTATTGGTTACCAAGCCATGTTGGCATCGTGGGCAATACAAAAGCTGACGCTGCAGCTAAGGCTGCCCTTGAAAAGTCTATCTCTAATATTCTGATTCCACACTCTGATTTTAAATCTTGTATAAAAGATTATATCAGACATTTAAGGCAAACAAAGTGGAATACCCAGTTAGGTATGAACAAGCTGCATGCAATAAAACCTATAGCTACTCTTGGACATACCTACTTGGGTTGCCAGTCACGACACGATGAAGTTGTTTTACGACGATGTCGCATTGGCCATAGCCGTTATACCCATGAATATTTGCTTAAAGGTGAAGATCCTCCGTTTTGCATCCCTTGTGATGAGAGAATTACAATCAAGCATATTTTGCTTGATTGTATAGACTTTTCTCTCACAAGGGATACTTATTATCATTCAACGTCTTTAAAGGATCTTTTTAATAATATCAACGTTCATTTAATTCTCGGTTTTTTAAAAGAAATAGAGTTATTTGATAAATTTTAAATTTTGAATTGTTTTAAATTAGTGTCATATTATTAACAACTGATATTATTGAAGGGGGTGCCACTCAGGGGGTTAAAGTAGCATACAATTATTGTCCTCTTGACTGGCACGCAAGTCCATCTAAATAAAAGTGTATAATATCAACTAGTGTTTTAACTACTTGACTATGGTTTGATCTTTTAATATTGGTTAGCATTGAAGATGACCACTTATGACGAAAGTGATGACATAAATCCTGCTGGGAATCATGCAGGAAGCAAAGGCACTGTAAGTCCCCATTATCCCCAGTTAGGTGGTCTAGCTTTGGTTGCCAGTGGTATATAGCCCAGTTTTATCTTGTACCAAATCTACTGAAGAATTCTTTGTTTTTATTGTGAACTGGTTAGTTTTATACCTTAGCTGTGATACATGACTTACTGTTTTACTGTCCTTTGTCGACAGGTATTTAATAAAAATTAACTTGTTTTCATCGCAATATGGCTGTAATGTTGCCGATGCAGGGTAAAATTTTAACTCACTCTCTCACTCACCCTATGTCTAGATCTTTTTAAACGTGTATTAATTCATAAATAAATTATACAATTATGTTTTGTATATAATTCATTTTCAAATTTGAATTGGGCTGATCACACAGCCGACTGAGAAAGTTGAGGCAGTGAGTCTTTATTTGGGAACATTAACTAACCAGGAATTTATTACCACTTGTTATCGTCTAGTATCTTTGTAACAAGTGATTATCTTTACATGCCGCAATAAGCTAGGGTATAATGTAAATCCTGTTGTGCATCCCCCACGGTGCCCATTGAGGTGGTGTAGCTTTGGTTGTTGGTGGTCCATAGCCCATACCCTAATAGTAAAAAGTAAAATATTATTTAATATATTGATTTTTATTTAGTAAGTTTTTAGTCTGCAAGTTGCAATATCGTGCTAGCATGTGTAACTGTAATATGTCACAATATGGATGAAATACGGCCTATGTGACATTACACTTTACCTCCCGCACATCCCCTATAACATCCCTATAACATGGACGAGTCACATTAGACATGGACAAATCATTTATTGGATTAGACACTTTCTGAAACACGCCCACCTGCCAAAAGAGGATTGGCTCACGAGGTTTAGAAACCGTCCAATCCCGTCAAGTGTAAACATATGGGTTCGTTGGGTTGCCTGTTTGGGTATAAATAACCAGTGTGGTTGTCAGTTGTGATAAATTCCAAGAGTGATTAAATAGTCACTATGAACCTGTACAAGTCTGTGCTTTTCATTGCCTTATGTCTGATGGTCTTTCAAGAAACAGACGCTCGATGGAGAAGGTCGAGGAGAGTCTTTTGGAAACCTTCCTCGAGCAGTGGTATAGCATCTCTGATTTGTCGTAAGATCTTTCATGTTCAGCAAGATTGTGTGTATTGTAATTGTGAAGCACCACATACTTCACGCTGTCGCACATCTTGTGCAGTGAGAGAAGAAATACGACAATGTGCAAGAGAAGCTCTGTGTCCACCAGACATAACAACTACAACGGAATCGACCGAAACGACAACAGTGCAAGATCCAACAACAACAACAACGCCGTCCGTTTCAACAACGCCGTCACCGTTCTGTAAGTATGTTGTTCAGGTATCCTAGTACTGAAAACAATATTTTCATGGGACAAGAGGGACGATTTCGGAACCAAACCTACCCGCTCTACACACACTGAAACACTGCACATGGACCATCAATAGGTAGTCAGATACTTGGGAAGGCACGCAGGAATGTAGGTTTGATTTTTACACTTCAGCGATAATCTATCAAATCGCTTTGATTTAACAGAATTGTTGATATTCATTATCCACAGTAACAAGTTAACTCTCTACTCCTTGTCTGTATTTGTCGTAAGATTATAAATGTGCCATCTACAAAGCCTAGGGTAATTGGAGTGCTTCAACCTGGTGAAACTTAGGTACAGAAACCCATTATTTCTAAAGCTTCTCAGTCTGTGAGAGACAGGGTGTTATACAAAGCCCTGTTCTTCTCAATACTTCATTTTAAACTGTTGCTGTCCGATTAACTTTAAACATTGGTTTATGCACTACATGCTCTCTCTATGTACCTCCAACGTCAACTCAACAAACTGATGTTCAGGCGCTCCATGCTCCATGGTTCGCTCGTCACGCCAAAGACCCGGGTTCGATTCCCGACATGGGTACAATGTGTGAAGCCTATTTCTGGTGTCCCCCACCGTGATATTGCTGGAATATTGCTATAAGCCGCGTAAAACCATACTAACTCACTCACTCCAGCTGTGAGTGCCCCATGCTGTGTATAATTTACTGGTGATTTAAAATAGCTTAATCCAATTGTGGGTATTTTTAGATACAAACGGGAAGGGGTATATACTGGAAGGTTCTATTTCTAACAACAATTTATTAATAATTTGAAAACGTATTTTTATTTGGTCCAGGCACATTTATCACTTTGTGGACTTAGATATGCAGAATGAATTATAATGGTATCTACCTTCTCCAAAATTGAAAAAAAGAGTAAGTGAATGGGGTTTTGTTTACATCGGCAACATTTCAACCATATCGTGACGAGACAAAAGTATACATTTATAAATAACAAAAAGGTCTATAGATCGCTAGAAATAAAAGTAACGCCACCATATTAGGGATTGATGGGACTTAAAATACTTTTTGGCGATTGTTTAGACATTACTTTAAAATAACAAATGTACTAGTTTTACAATTCTGGCATGCATAAGAATACTTTGAATGATGTGGAACGATATCAGCCATTGATGGCCTTCAAAATGGCGTACAGGTTTAATTTTATGGGTTGCTGATTTGATGCCCAAATGACAATAAATCGAGCCCAGGAATCTAATCTCATATCAATTTCTTCATCAGATGTGCTAGCATATACGTATTTTCTCTTTGAACCAGAGTTTGTATTAGACAGAATGCCCCTTGTGATGAAAGAATCATGTTCAAGCATACCCTGCTTGACTGTATTGATTTTTCCATCGCAAGGGATAACTATTTCAAAGTTTCATCGCTTTGGGATGTTTTTAATCAGGTAAGGACTCATTTATTTATCCTTTTTTTAAAAAAGAAAAAAATTGAATTATTAAATACATTTTCAAACATATGTTTTGTAACTGATAAATATTTTTAGACTTGGTAGAAAGAAATTTGTTCACGGGGATTGTTGGCTTAACCGTGATGGGGGAAGTGTAAAATGATTGTCCAATAGTGAGGGTATGTCAGACCACCTTATTCGAAGTACTTATTTACAAGGTAGATCACCATGCTACGGTCCATGGGGACTTACAGTACTTTTGCTACCTGCATGGACCCAAGCCGGATTTACATCATCCCTTCAGCTGTTGGAGATTAATGACAAATTTAGCCAGATTAAACGAACCTAAATACTACGGTTAAAAAAGTTGCAGAAAGAAACATACTTTGAAAGGCATGGTCTTACATACCCTCTCAGGGGGACAATAATTTTACACTACTTTAACCCCCTTCGAGGATATAGCCACTAACAATCTCAGTTATTGATTCATACTACCAATTATAAAAGTTATTCATTTATTTACAAAATATAGCAATCAAGATTTATGAATTACTTCAATTTCCTTTAAAAAATCAAGAATAAAATGAGAACTTACCTGTATAAAAAGGTCCTTCATAGCTGAAACTTTGAAATACTTATCCCTTGTGATGGAAAAATCAACACAGTCAAGCAGGACGTGCTTGACCGTGATTCTTTCATCACCAGGGATGCAGAATGGAGGATCCTCACCTTTTCACCTCAAATATATTCATGAGTATAACATGAATGGCCAATACGACATGGTCTTAAAATGACCTCTTCAAATCTGGACTGACAACCCAAGTAGGTATAACTGATATTTGCTTTTGTTGCATGTAATTTATTTATACCCACTTGGGTGTCCCACTTCTTCTGCATTAGATATCTGATGAAACATCTGATAACAGGTTTATAATCACTATAGGGTATAAGAAGTAGTGTAACGGATTTGTTGAGTGCTGGCTTAGCAGCAGCAGCACTCATTGTGTTACCAACGATCCTAACATAGCTGGGTAACCAACAAAAGACATGTCATATTGGCCAGAAGCAAGATCATTAAATAACATTAAATATATTTTTTTATATTTTGATTGGTTCTTGACATATTTTAGTGTTGTTATTATTGCGTGCGCGTCTGCTGTCAAGAATGAACGATTATCGGGTAATCGTGCACCACCATCCTTGGATTCATCTGTAAATAAAGATTTATAAGTGTCGTAAGTGTTTCTTAATTGATGGTATTCTTGTCGGTAAATTAATTGGTTAGTATCTGATTTTTTTTGTTAATGTGAGGTCTACCTCTGGTTTGACCATTTGCCAAGGAGGAGATGAGTGAGTGAGTGAGTTGGGTTTTACGCCGCTTTTAACATTATTCCAGTTATATGGCGGCGTGTCAGCTTAATGTGGGAGGAAAGCCTGAAGTGATGCAGGTCACAGACGTGTACCACTTCGGTGAAACCCACGAGCACGGTGCTGATAAACCTAGAAACATAATCAGGGCGAACCGGGATTCGAACCCACGATCATAGGTTTCTGGCGTGCCCAAGGGACGCAACTCTGCACAGCGAATCGCGGCGCCTTAGACGACTGGGCCACCCGTGCCCCAAGGAGGAGATGAAAAAAGTTGAGTAGGAGCTATATCTTGGAGTTTAATATTAGAAGCTGATATGGCAGATTTTATTCTTATTCCGAATGGTGGAGTGAGTGTTGATTTCTTATTGTAGAGATCTTCATGGAGAGGATTGAATATGCATTCAAAAACTGGATTTGACGGATTAGAATATAATTTAGTGATATATTGTAAAGATAATTTTAGACGGTGTTGTTTAAGAGAAGGCTCATCTGCTTCTATATATAGACTGTGAATGGGAGACGTCCTCAAGGCAAGGCTCAGGCCCTTATGATGGATAGTATCCAGTTTTTTTAAGTTACTTTTGCAGTAGTGGAGCCATAATCAAGTTTTGTATGAATCAGACAGACAGACAGACAATTTATTCAATAAAAGGCCACTGGCCCAAAATACATACATATGCAGGAATACAAAAAGCCTGCGAAAAATGACATATTTACAAACTGGGAAAATTTACATTATTTGATATTTATAGATATTTTTTATACTTATTCGCAGTGGATTATTTACTATTTACCCTAAGTTGATGAGCTTTGGTAAGAAAAATAGATATTTTATATAAGGTATCAAATGCATCTGAGGAAATAATAGAGATAAAGTTATGCTGAAGGTTAGAGGTAATATATTTATCTAAAACTGCATTACGAAGGGAGCTTTAGGATTCACAAATTAATAATACATGATATTCATTTTCAATAAAGTACTTATTTTTAGATAGACAGAGAGGGCAGAGTCTTTCTTCATATGGTATGGTATCTTCCAGTATTTACTGCTATTGGAAAGTTACTGCATCTGAAGCGTGATAAAGTCCTTTTTAAGTGAGATTGAAGTGGTGCATTTAAGTAATATTCAACATTTAGTAGCGATTTAATTGTTTTATAGGAATAAGAGTCAGATAAACTGTTCACATTTACACTCCAGGTTTGCTGCAAGTTGTTAAATAGTCTCTGTTTAAACATGGAAATAAAAACATTTTTATCCCCAACTTCTTGTGCTATCCATGCATATCCAAATCCAAATCTGAATAATCTGTACGGATCAGTGATCTATACAAGTGTAAGAGGGTTGTTTGATCCCCTCCCGACTTTGAATTTGAAACTACTTTCAATAAGTCGAGTGCCTTCAGACATTTAGCTTTTAGGTATTTAATATGTGGGAGGAGAGTTAAATGGTTATCAAAAATAAGTCCGAAGAACTTGGCCTCCTTCACAACTTTGATAGGGATGCCATTTAGAAATAGTTCAGGGACCTTATGCAATTTATATTTTCTGCAGAAACGTAAACAGTTAGTTTTTTATTTGGAAAATTTAAACCCGTTCTCTGGACACCACTTGTGAATTATATTGAGACATACTTGTAATTGCCTTTCTATTGTGTGCATATTTTTACCACGACAAGATATATTAAAATCATCCACAAAAAGTGATCCATTAACTGAATCATTTAAAACTTTTGACAAACTGTTAATTTTTATACTGAATAAGGTGACAGACAAAATACTTCCTTGTAGTACACCCTGATCCTGATTATAATGATCAGACAGGGTTGTACCCACTCGGACTTGAAATTGCCTTCCTGCTCATTTCATATCACAGTTATTAACAGACGGCCTCTTAATCCAAAATCATGAAGATCTTTTAAAATACCATGTTTCCATGTTGTATCGTTAGCTTTTTCTAAGTCGAAAAAGATCGATACAGCATGTTGCCTATTTACAATGGAATCTGTAATGAAAGATTCTAAACGCACTATATGATCGACAGTACTTCCGGAACCCACATTGTATATATGTAAGAAGTTCATTTGATTCCAAGTAGCACACTAATCGATTATTTACCATGCGTACAATAGTTTTACAAACACAGCTAGTGAGACATATAGGTCGGTAATTTGATGAATCAGAATGATCCATGATACCCAGGTTTGGGTATTGGGATAACTATGGTATTATGCCATAAAGGTGGAAACGTCTCTGATGTCCAAATATCATCGAATATAGTCAACATAGTTTCAAGGCATGATTCGGGCAAGTGTTTCAGTTGCTGATAATGAATATTATCAGCGCCTGCTGCTGTATCATGAGCTTGCCCTAAGGCAGTATATAGCTCATGTAGTGAAAATACCTCATTGTAATCCTCACCATTATCAGATGTAAAATTTACTTTTTGTCTTTTCCTGTTGGAGCTGATATTTTTGAAGTTCAGGAACGTAATTTGATGAAGACGAATGTTGAGATAAAGTTTTCCCAAGTCTATTGGCAATGGCAGATTTATCAGTTAACAAAGTATCGCCATCCTTCAGATGGTTAACTGTAGAATGTGATCCCTTGCCTTTGATCTTTTTAATCATTTTCCATACCTTGGACATAGGGGTGCGAGAATTTATTTTAGAGACAGATTTCTTCCATGATTGACGTTTATTGTGTTTGAATAGCCGTCTAGCCTTTGCTTTTGAAATTTTGACAGTGTTTAGGTTATGGACATTTGGGTGTCCAAGCTTGTTTGCAATTATCGTCAAACCATGGTTTACGAGTGGGTGAGTGAGTTAAAGTTCAACGTCACATCGGCAATATTTCAGCCATATCGTGACGAAACAAAATTTGACATTAACAATATATTTCACACTGTATAAAATTCTGCCGACGAAGGGCAGTATAATAACTAGAATATCACAGATTTACATAAGAGAGCATTAGAGAGCATGTAAAAATATATTATCATTTTGCAACACTATATAAAAACAGGCTATAGATCGCCAACAACTGAAGGTAGATCACCACGCTAGGGGATTTACAGTACTTTTGCTACCTGCATGGACCCCAGCAGGATTTACACCATCCCTTCAGTGGTTGGCGATTGTACGTACGTTTTAGCCATAATTAATAATTATATATTTACAATTAGGGCTCCAAGCCGAAAGACTGGAAGCCCTATTGTATTCGGCCGATTTATTCATAATTATTATTATTATTATTATTATTATTATTATTATTATTATTTTATACCAGAGCTAGCAAAGTAACCACTGGCTTGATTTAGTTGAAATTTTGTATGTGTATGCAGACAGTTAGGTTCAAGATACGTAAAACTTCCCAAGGCCGTAGGCTCAAAGACCAAGGGCAGATAACTGAAAAACAAGTAATCTTTGAAGCTATATTGCTCCCAAACCGCTTGTCCGATTACTTTTAAACCTTGCACGTGTTTGCTGTTTTAGATGCTTGGCATTATTTGTTCTTTGATTTTGGTCATTGCTTACTTGGTTTGGCAGCCATATTGGATTAAATGTTTTCACAGGTTTTTTGGGGGTACCTGTCTTCAAATCCCTACTCCTCTGAAACCCCTGCATGAAATGCATTCTGAGAATTGTCTGCATATACAACACAACAAATTGTCTTAAGCGGATTTGGATATCTTTTTGAGTTGCGGCCATATTGGATTTTGATTTTGATGATTTTTTCTCCGAAATACTGAATACATGGCTCAGAAAACCTAGGATTATCTCCCTTTCACTGTCAAGTGTCTTCTGCATTATGTATACTACGCTTGAAGATGTGGGTTGGAATTGGTCTTCAATAACCCATGCTTGTCTTAAGAGGCGATTATTCAAACATTGTCTAGGTGGGAAATGGGTTTAGAACACTCTTGTTAACTCTGGCACACGCCAATTCCGGCGATGTCCAGGGTAACAGGGGGTCAAAAACACACGTCGTACAGAGCAATGCCATGTCAATAGCTAGTAAAACCGCCCCTTGCGCCTAAGCATGCATCACATCTTTGTCGCATACTGTCACTTAAGCGTCGAAAGAACTGTTGGGGAAAGCCTGCCACTCTGCTTGAAGAAATTGTGTCAGTTCTTGCAGATTTACAGGTTGACGTTGATTGTTTGCCACACGTCTACCCAACTCATCCCAGGGTTGTTCAATCGGTGCCAAATCTGGTGAGTACCTGGCCAATCCATTCGTTGCACACCGTTTTGAGCCAAGAAATCAGCTACCACGGGGGCTCCTGGCCTGAGCCTGAGACTCATTGCAAATGTGTCATAATTACGGAAGTGATATGTTTTATACATTCAATTCATGAAAGAAAATGGCCATGGCCGATTGATAGAACCGGGCCCATTCCACCTCCCGTCTAGGTGAAATTGGGGTCAAAGTGGTGTGTTGGGACAAAAAGAAGAGTTCGCTTCATGCGATAATATTCATGTTTGCTTGTAACCGATCATTGTCTCGTTTTGTATCTTTCAGTGTGTCTCCAGCTTAATTTCTTATGTGTGGAACAGGGGGACTGCCCAGATGGTTTTGATGGTACGACTATCCCCTGTCCACCCGGCCAAAGGTGCTGTCGGATGTCCAGTGCAATGAAATGGTAGGACCATATTGGGGTTGCCAATCAATAATTTTAGTCAAGTATTTTGGTATCACTCACAATCAGTTCGATTCAGATTTACATTTACTTCTCGGTGATATCTTAACAGATATAACAATGATGGACCCTGAACTGTGCAAATTATGATATTGCGTTTTTTAAAGGCACCGTCATCTGAACTTTGGAGCATTAGTGTCAGATAAAAAACGATGATCCCCAAGTGTTCTGGAAAGAAAGATGGCGGTTTGATTTTGATCGGGATTCCTTGATGAAAGTTTACTTTCGCTGAAAATAGGTATACATATGAGACCCACTCTAAACCGGAATGTGCATCAACATATAACTGATTGCATACAACACATATTTGAGTTAGTGTAAAAGTGCATTCTATGTTCCCTTTGTTCCCATTTGATTCAGTATGATCTTCAAAAAAGCTGTTAAAATGTTAAATATGATACCTTCTACTTATTCTTCTGTTGAAGCATGTGTATGATGTGAACATGATTATACGCCACTTTAAGCAATATCCCCGCAGTATCATGGCCGCGGACACCACCAGACAACCAAACCGCCCTGATTTTACTGCGTGTTTCTATTGTCCGTTTGAACCCGTACATGGTTGTGTATCATGCTCAATTTTGTTTATACTTTTCATTCATCATTTGGTTGTTGATATTCTTGATAGATGTCAGTGAAGCGTTTAGTTATTTCCCAATTAACATGAATTGTTACTTTGTTGTTTGCTGCTGATTTATTTCTGATAGAGTAAGTGGTTTACAAAAGCAACTGAATATTCGTGGAAGTGAGGGAATTAATATTTAATGTCGCTTCGACATTTTTTCACTCATATAGCAACGAGATCAGCTTGATATGTACACAATTAATTCATGAATACAAAGTTATACTGTTCAAAACAAGTAACGCAGTGCAGATAGTTTGGGCCATAGAAAGAAACATTAGCAGACCAAGTGAGTGAATTAATATTTAAAGTCACATTGGCAATACCTCAGCCATATCGTGACTTGAACAAGTTATACATTTATATTATGTATTAAAAACTATCATCGAAGGACAGTACAACAACCAGCAATATATCACAGATTATGATTGTAAAACTAGTTTTAAGACAATAAAAAGTGTGAGTGAGTGAGTGAGTTGGGTTTAACGCAGCTTTTAAAAGTATTCCAGTCATATCCGGCGTGTCAGCTTAATGTTGGAGGAAAGCCCAAAGTGTTGCAGGCCTCAGACGTTTACCACTTCGGTGAAACCCACGAGCACGGGTATGATGCTGACAAACCTAGAAACATAATTAGGGCGAACCAGGATTCGAAGCCGCAATCATAGGTTTCTGGCGTGCCGAAGGGACGCAACTCTGCACAGCGAATCGCGGCGCCTTAGACGACTGGGCCTACCGTGCCCCCAATAAAAAGATCAGATTATGACAGATGACACATTATAAAAATAGGCTATAGGTCACCAATAACTAAAGTTAGGCCACCATACTAGGGACCATGGGGACTTACAGTACCTTTGCTACCTGCATGGTTCCCCAGTAGGATTTACACCATCCCTCCAGTCATTGGCAATTGTTTACGAGATTTGCCGTAAATTAAAATATTCAAATAATCTGCGTTTAAAACAGTGATAGATAGATTACTTTGAATGAAGTGGTCTTACATACCCTCTCAGGGAGACAATAATTTTACTAGCAGATCAAGAGATGTAAAATAAAGAGCTTTTATGTGTTATAGTGTCAGGGACAAATTTCAAGGAATAAAATGATCACAACAAGGACATTCAAATCATTAGTCGGGAAAGATGTACGATTCGGAAAAAAACGCACCCAGTGCATTAACAAATGTGCCATGGAGCTGCATGCACTGCACATGCAGCAGCACTATAAACGGTATTAAAGTGCAGGGTGTTTGATTGCCTGGCATTTGCGTCAATCGCCTATCACCCCTATCAAAGTGGTAAAGGAGGCCACTTTCTTACCGCATATACAATACCTTAAAGCTTAATCTCTTTATGTAGTTTCTAATTCTAAGTGGCGAGGGGATGAGACAACCCTCTTACACTTGTATAGATCACTGATCCATTCAAAACTTGATTACATCTCCATCGTCTATGGTGGAGCATATAAAAGAAATTAACAAAAACTAGATACTATCCATCACCAAGGACTGATGCTTTGCCTTGGAGCCTTTCGCACTGCTCCTGTTTCAAGTCTGTCTGTCGAAGCAGATGAGCCTTCTCTTAAACAACACCGTCTGAAATTATCTTTACAAGACATCACTAAATTATATTCTAATCAGACAAATCCAGTTTTTAATTGAGGTTTTTAAGGAGGTATTTACAAAACGAAAACATCTCTTTTTCCGCGACTTGGAATAAGAATTAAATCAGTCGTTTCTGCTGCTAAGAATAACTGTCAGGATATAGCTCCCATTCAACTGTTTTCACCGCCTCCTTGGCAAATGGTAAGACCAAATGTAGACCTCACATTAAATAGACTTAAGGAATCTGATACAAATCCACTTATTTATAAACAAGAATACAATCAATTACGAAACACTTATGACACATATAAATCTATATTTACAAATGGATCCAAGGATGGTGGCGCAGTTACTAGTGCCACTGTCATTGGATCCAGAACAATATCATCATGACTACCAGTAAATAGTTCGATAATAACAGCAGAAGCAAACGCAATTTTAGCAGCACATATATATATATTAAGAAACAATCCAAATATAAACAATTCATTATTTTTTCGGATTGCCTTCATGCTATTAAAATATGTTTTGTAAACTTCCATTTTTAATTGAAATTCTTGAGTTATTTAATGATCTTGCTACTGGCCAATATGACATCGTCTTTTGTTGCTTATCCAGACATGTTGGTATCGCTGGTAACACAATTGCCGATGCTGCTGCAAAAGCAGCTCTCAATAATCTGTGACACCACTTCTGATCCCATACACTGATTATAAACCTATAATTAGATCTTGCATCCGTGATCTAATGCAAAAGAAGTGGGACACCCAAGTAGGTATCAATAAATTACATGAAATTATACAAAATATTGGTTACACCTGCTTGGGTTGTCAGTCCAGATTTGAAAAGGTCATTATGCGACAATGCCGTATTGGCCATAGCAGATATATTCATGAATTTATATCGAAAGGTGAGGATCCTCCATTTTGTATGCCTTGCGATGAAAGAATCACGGTCATTTGCCATCACAAGGGATAACTATTTCAAGGTTTCATCCATAAAGGATCTTTTAAATATCAGTGCTCGTTTAATAATTGATTTTTTAAAAGAAATAGAATGGTTTCTTAAATTTTGACAGCTATGTTTTGTATGTAATATAGTTTTTTTATAATTGGCAAAATATAATTGTGATAACTGAGATTGTTAATGGCTATATCCTCGTAGTAGGTTAAAGTAGTGTAAAATGATTGTCCCCCTGAAACGGTATGTAAGACCACGTCTTTCAAAGTATATTTTTTTCTACCATGGTTTTTTATCGTAGCATATGTGTGTTATTATCCCCCGCCACGAAGTGTAAGGGGGATATAGGAATGGGTGCCGTCCGTCCTTCTGTCCGTCACATTTCGTTTCCGGAGCAGAACACAAAAACCGTGAGAGATATCTTAACCACTTTTGGCACATGGATAGGTCTGGTGGTGAACCGGTGGCTTTTGGTAGTTTGGGATTTTTCTAAAAAAAACTTTCGAGTTTCCATGGTAACGACTTTGACTTCGACTGGAAATGGCGGTAGTCCTCGTTTCCAGATCAGATCTTGAAAACTGTACAATGTTTCTTCACCAAACGTGGCAGATAGATAGGTCTGTTGTTTAACTGGTGCTTTTTGATAGCTTGGGATTTTGAAAAAAAGTATTTTTCGAGTTTCCGTGGCAACGACTTTGATTTTTGGCAAAACTAACGCTCATGCCACCAGCAACCAAACCTGGGCCACCTTGCTGAGGAACATGGTTACTTACGATGCCTCAGCTTCCTGCATGATACCCCAGCAGGATTGACGTCATCACTTTATCTACTAGTGGTTGTGAGTGAGTGAGTTAAAACCTATAGTCACATCGGCAGTATTTCAGCCATATCGTGACTACCAAAAGTTACACATAATATATACATTTAAACAATAACGGCCTGTCAACAATGGACAGTAAAATACCTAGATGATCACATAATAATATTTAAAACTAGTATATAACCATAATGGATGTCACTATACCTAACGATACAATATAAAAAAGGCTATAGATCGCCAGCAACTGAAGATAGATCACCTCACTGGGGACCATGGGGACTTACAGTACTTTGCTACCTGCATGGACCCCAGCAGGATTTACACCATCCCTTCAGGTGTTGGCGATGGCTGACACAATTAGCCGAACATTAAAACAACACATATTCCATGATTAAAAACACGTGGTAGCAAATAAATACACTTTGAAAGACGTTGTCTTACATACACTAGTGGTTGTGCACAATACTAGCCAATGTAAGCAAATGCTCAGCAATGAGTTGACTTACAACACTAGTTGATGATAGTTACATCGATTGTAATAGGAATTACATTTAACAATCATTTTTTTAAACATTTTCTTTTTAAACTAAATTATGTGTAATGTGACTTTTCAGGATATGGCTGATAAACAAGCAATTGGTTATTCACTTCCATTTAAAAGAAATTATGAAACAGACCGAATTATTGCAAGTAGCTTAGGGTCAGATCCCCGTTCAACGGAAAAGATTTCCTGTTTGATATTGGAAATCTCTAAAGTGAATTGCTGTTTGATATTGTGATGTCCACATAGTCAAGTGAAGGTTACTGCTTCTAAACAACCTTATCATGTCTTGACAACCCAAGCAGCTGTGTTGCTGTATGTTAAACTCATGAAGTGAATTGTCTCATGCTTGGGTGTCCCGAAGTTTTTGTAATTAGACGTCGAGTATAACTCACTGTACGGGATAAGTAGTGGAGATAATTGTTTGTCAAGAACTGCTTTAGCTGCAGCATCACCATTACCTGCTATGGTCACATTGAGAAGTAGAAAGATCATTTTAAAGTTCCAAATTGTCTCGAATTAACAAAACTCGTTTGCTAATTGTGCATAATGTAATATTCTTTTGTTATTTTTCAGATGCAGACATTATAAAATAAGGGGGACGCTCGACGCAACGTAACTCAAGATGCAGTACGTTGATAGTTGGTTGTAACAGTATGAAATAAAATATAAATCTTCAAGTATTTGTTTCCCTTATGTAATATATGAGTGAGTGAGTGAGTTAATATTTAAAGTCACATCGGCAGTATTTTAGCCATATCGTGACTGTAAGTCCCCATGGACCCTAGCATGGTGATCTACCTTCAGCTGCTGACGATCTGTAGCCCATTTTTATATTGTATCGTCATGTATTGTGCTATGCTCTTTTAAAATTCCTTACTAGTTTTATATCTTTTCTGTGATAAATCTAGTGATTTTACTGTCCTTCGTTGACAGGTTTTTAAATCAGTTTAAATATATGTATAATGTTTAAATATTGATAGTCACGATATGGCTGAAATATTGCCGATGTGACTTAAAATTTAACTCACTCACTCACTCACCATATCGTGACTTGAGTGAGTGAGTGAGTTAATGCTTTACGTCACATCGGCAATATTTCAGACATATCGTGACGAGAAGTTATACATGAATATACATATATGTAAACTTTATAAAAATCTGTCATCGAAGGACAGTATGAGAACTAGAATATCACAGATAAGATTTAAAACTAGTTGCGAAACATTTAAAAGCAATAAGTATTAACGAACAACACAATATAAAAATGGGCTAGAGATCGTCAGTAACTAAAGGGAGATCACCACACCAGGGACCATGGGGGCTTACAGTTATCGTGACTTGAACAAGTTATGCATTTATATTATATATTAAATCTGTCATCGAAGGACAGTACAACAACCAGCAACATATCACAGATTATAGTTTTAAAACTAGTTTTAGAACAATAAAATAATCAAATACAATACAGACGATACAATATAAAAACGGGCTGTAGATCGCCAGCAACCAAAGTTAGGCCACCATACTGGGGACCATGGGGACTTACGGTACCTCTGCTACCTACATGGTACCCCAGCAGGATTTACACCATCCCTCGGGCCACTGGCGATTATCAGACGGATTAGCCAAAGAGTTAAAATCAACAAAAAATACTACGATTAAAATCACAGAGAAATGAAAAGATACGTTGAGTGATACCGGACTTACGTACCTTCCCAGGGGGACAACTGTTTTACGATACTTCAACCCCCTGTGAAGATACAGCCACTAACAATCTCAGTTATGATTTCATTCCACCAAATTAAAATTTATTTACTTTATACTACACATATTATAATCAAAATTTATCTATTAATTCTATTTCTTTTAAAAAACTGATGATTAAATGAGCACTGATTTGATAAAAAAAAATCCTTTATGGATGTTATTTTGAAATACTTATCCCTTGTGATGGAAAAATCAATGCAGTCAAGCAGGACATGCTTAAAATGCTGTGGCCAATACGAGTGAGTGAGTGAGTGAGTGAGTGAGTGAGTGAGTTAAGATTTAACGTCACATCGGCAGTATTTCAGCCATATCGTGACGAGTGAGTGAGTTAAGATTTATAGTCACATCGGCAATATTTCAGCCATATCGTGACTAAATCAAGTTGTACAGTAATAATACATAACTAGAAACTATAAAATCTGTCGGCACAGGACAGTAAAATAACTAGAATATGACAGCTATAAATATAAAACTAGTAAGTTACTATAAAATTTGGACTAATCAATACAATACATTAGAAGAGTTGGCTAGAGATCACCAGCAACCAAAGTTAGGCCACCACACAAGGGACCATGGGGACTTACGGTGCATCTGCTTCCTGCATGGTACCCCAGCAGGATTTACACCATCCCTCTGGCCACTGGTGATTATTAGTAAGTTTAAGCCAAGCATTTAAAAACAAACAAGTATTCTGCGATTAAAACCAAGGAAAATGAAAAATACTTTGAATGAAATAGGACTTATGTACCCTCTCAGGGGGACAATTATTTTACGTTACTTCAACCCCCTTTGAAGGTACAGCCACTAACAATCACAGTTATTAATTCATTCTTCCAAATTAAAAATATACTTTGTACAACAATACATATCAAAATTTATCATTCAAGTCTATTTCTTTTTAAAAACCAATAATTAAATGAGTACTTACATTAAAAAGATCCTTCATAGATGAAACCTGGAAATAATTATCCCTTGAGATGGAAAAATCAATACAGTCAAGCAGGACATGCTTGACTGTGATTCTTTTATAACATGGGATGCAGAATGGAGGACCCCCCCCCCCCCCCCCCCCCTTTTAGTAAATGTTCATGAGTATAACGAGAATGGCCAATACGACATCGTCTTAAAATGACCTCTTCAAATCTGGACTGACAACCCAAGTAGGTATAACCGATAGTTGCTTTGATTGCATGTAATTTATTTATACCCACTTGAGTGTCCCGCTTCTTCTGCATTAGGTCTTTGATATAGCATCTAATAACAGGTTTGTAGTCACTGTATGGTAGAAGAAGTGGTGTCACAGATTTGTTGAGTGCTGCTTTAGCTGCAGCATCAGCCATTGTGTTGTTGCCTTTTATGCCCACATGACTGGGCAACCAACAAAAGACGATGTCGTATTGGCCAGTTGAAAGATCCTTATAAAGTTCTAAAATGTTTAAAATAATTGGATGATTAGAAGTGACGTTTTTCAGTGCCTGAAGACAATGAATGAATGAATCAGAAAAGATTATAAATTGTTTATATGCAGACTGTTTCTGGATGTATAACAAGGCTGTTAGGATAGCATTGGCCTCAGCAGTGAAAATAGAGCTATTGTCGGGTATTCTAGATGATAAATGTTTTGATCCAACCACAGCGTCACTTGCTACTTTGCCACCGTCCTTGGATCAATCAGTAAAGATTGAACGGTGTGTATCGTATTTAGATCTTAATTGTAAATATTCCTGTTGATATACTAGTTGATTAGTGTCAGATTTGATAAAACGAGTGAGGGAAATGTCTACTTCCGGCCTCACCAACTGCCAGGGAGGAGAAGACAAAAGACGGTAAGGAGAGATAATATCCAGGTCTAAATTTGCAGCATGAAAATGAGATTTGATCCGAATTCCAAGTGGTGGAACCAGCTTTGGTTTCTTCTGAAACAGCTCTTCATATAGGGGATGAAAAACGGAATCATAAGCAGGATTGGAGGGATTGGAACGTAATTAAGTAACATACTGGAGAGACAATTTAATACGGTGTTGTTTCAGAGAGGGTTCATCAGCCTCGACATAGAGGCTGTCAACAGGAGAAGTTCTAAATGCACCAAGGCACAGTCTAAGTCCTTGATGGTGGATTGAATCTAGCTGTTTTAAATTACTCTTGCAAGCTCCAGCATACACAATGGAGCCATAGTCCAGCTTAGAGCGAATTAAAGATCTATATAAGTGAAGAAGGGTTTTCTGATCCCCTCCCCACTTTGAATTTGAGACAACTTTCAATAAATCCAGTGCCTTCAGGCATTTAGTCTTTAAATATTTAATATGTGGCAGAAACGTCAAATGGTGGTCGAAAATTAATCCCCAAAATTTGGCTTCTTTTACAACCTTAATTGGAGTGCCATCTAAAAAGAGATCTGGGTCATTATGGGGTTTATATTTCCGACAGAAATGTATACAATTTGTTTTGGTCTGTGAAAACCTAAATCCATTCTCAAGACACCATTTATGAATTTTATTAAGACACAACTGTAACTGTCTTTCAATGGTATGCATATTTTTACCATCAATTGAGTCATTTAATACTTTAGATAAGCTATTTATTTTTATGCTAAACAAGGTAACAGACAAAATACTGCCTTGTGGAACCCCCTGATCCTGATTATAATGATCAGACAGGGTTGATCCAACATGGACTTGAAATTGTCTGTCCGTTAAAAACTGTGATACAAATTGAGGCAAACGGCCTCTTAAACCAAAGTCATGTAAATCTTTTAAAATACCATGCTTCCAAGTGGTATCATAAGCTTTTTCAAGGTCGAAAAAGATAGATACAGCATGCTGTTTATTTACGAAAGCATTTTTAATAAATGATTCTAAACAAACCAAATGATCAATAGTACTTCGGTTTTTACGGAAACCGCATTGGATATTACTAATCAGATTGTTGGTTTCTAAAAACCAAACTAACCGATTATTTACCATGCGCTCCATGGTTTTGCACACACAGCTAGTTAGCGATATTGGTCTATAATATGATACATCAGTATGGTCCCTACCAGGTTTAGGTATGGGAATAACTATTGCATTATGCCACGAAGGAGGAAAATTTCCTGATGTCCAAATGTTGTCAAATATAGTAAGTAGTGTCTCTAAACATGAATCAGGCAAATGCTTCAAGAACTGATAATGAATATTATCAGCTCCTGTCGCGGTATCATGCGCTTGACCTAAAGCAGTATTTAGCTCATGGAGCGAAAATAACTCATTGTAATCTTCTCCATTTTGAGAAGGAAATCAACCCTCTTCTTTCCCTCTTGTTTCTGATAGTTTTGAAACTTAGGATCATAGTTTGATGAAGAAGAGTGTTTGGCAAGCGTTTCACCCAATTTATTGGCAATGTCCAATTTATCTGTTAATAGATTGTCACCTTCCTTGAGATGGTGGACACTCGATTTTGATCCTTTACCTTTAATTTTTGCGACCATGTTCCACACCTTTGACATTGGAGTGCGAGAATTAATTTTGGAGACATAATTTCTCCAAGACATACGCTTATTCTGTTTGAATGTACGGCGTGCCTTGGCATTTGTGATTTTAACATGATTTAAGTTATGAACAGTTGGATGTCGGCGGAAATATTTCTCCGCTTTTTTCCTCACTTTTCTAGCCTGTTTACATTCGAGGTTAAACCATGGTTTACGTATATGTGGAATTGTAGAGGATTTAGGTATGCATACGTCAGCAATTCTCTTTAAAACATCAGAAAATTCCTGAATAGGATCGTCAGCATCAGTAAAACATTCGGGTTTTATTTCAGTAAGGCACATTGTTTGAAACAAAGACCAGTTTGCCTTTGTAAAATTCCATCGTGTAGAAGGAGGAACATCGAACGGATTTACAGCTGATAGGATAGTTGGGAAATGGTCAC